CTTCTTTCTTGTTCGGAAGCCTCTTTCGGAATGAGCTCTTGGATCAGTTTTCAGGTAGCAGGTGATTTTGTAAGCTCTTCCCAAATCCATATCTTCCTCGTCCCGTGACCAGTTTCTAAGTTGTAGTGTTGCGGATTTTCAGGGCGAAAGCAAGGAAGCATTTCGAAGAAGCCGAGGGGGAACCTGCAATCAAGAAAATATGTAGTTCTTCAGTGTAGGAAGAAAATTAACGAACTGTGTGGTAACTGTTAAGCTGTGTGTTTGTTCAGCTATTTTTTTTGCTTGAGGTTCGGGTCCAGTATTTGTTTGTTGTTTCTAGAGGGTTTGACTGTCCTTTCGTGAACAAACAATGTGAAATCCTTTTCGTCATAAGCTTTCAGTAGCATAAATAAGACAGTTTGTATAAGAGTACTCCATGGATACAGTAAATGTTTCGAGATAAATAAACTGAGGTGTTGATTAGGAGATGCCTACAATCAAGTGCAATTTCTCTGTATTATTACCACCATTGATTATCTGTCTGAGACCCATTTTGAACAAATTGTCATCCTACGGGAGAGCATACTTTGTCCTTGAACCTGTCGTACAAACGATGGCGTTATCCTTTAACACCCGACAACATCTGGGTTTCTGAGGGATCTGTCCATATGAAGGAGGCGGGGGCAATTCTCTCTCTCTCTAAAAAAAAAAGTCGGCGGGCGGCCCACTCAGAATGAAGGAGGCGGGCGTCGGCAAAATCATCCGGTCCGCCTAGCAGACTGCGGATCCAAGCCCATCGCCGCTCAACCCCCTCGTCTCACCTCCGTGGCCCGTGTGCACTACGCATAGGCCCGCGCACATTTCCTGTGTGGACCTAAATTCTTTCCTCTACTCCTGATAGCGGGCTAAGCTAAGCTAGTTCTTCCACTTCAAAAAAGAAAAAAAGAAAAAAAAGCTAAGCTAGTTCTTTACTCTTTTTCTTCATGTTTTCATGCATGCAATGTTTTTTTTTCTGGTTCATTTTCCGTAACTTTTTCGTTGTCTTCTTGCGATGATACTTAGATTACTGGTATTCCTAATTTTAGTTTTTAAAATATATTATTCTAAAAGAAGTCTATTTTTGGCCACCGAACCATAGGTCGAATCCCATTTTGTCCACCAGACTCCAAAATTAATATCCTTTGTCCACTGAACTATTTAGACAATTTTGGTCCTCGACTAGTTTGAACTATGGTTTTGCGTATGTATATGTACTTTTTAAAAATAATTAAAATCTAGATAAATCTTTAAAAATTGATAACTAGTTTATTTTAAATCGAAAAGTCCAGCACCAGTATATTGTAAAAACACAATCTTTATATGGTTCTCTATTTAGAGTTCTTTGGATCTTACTTATTCCTGTTGCTAGTGTTTTATCATTGTTTATTTAAATTAAATTAACTTTTGCACTTTGCTTTATGTTGATTACATGATGCATGAACCCCCTACCTTATTTGAAACATATTATCTAGTCAACCGATCAAATAAAGTAAAGCACTAGCCATGCATGCCAAAATAGAATCCATTATTCAATATGTGGTGGAGCATGGAGTCCACAAAAAGGTTGTCGTCACCTTTGAGATCTTCCATCTACTAGGAATGCATTGGATTCTTTTAGTTCATCCTTGGTCTAATATAACACAAATATAATTTAAATAAATAATGGTTGCTACTACGAGCAATAAAACATTAGCAACAGGGACAAGTATAATATCCAATAACTCAAAACAGAGCACCCGGTAGATAGATTATACTTTTAGAAAGCAATCAGTACTTATTTCACATTTTTATTTAAAATTATGAATTTTTAAGGTTTAATCATAGTTCTATGGTAAAAATCACTTTTGAAACTAGTTGATAGCCAAAGTTGCCCATTTTTAGTTCAATGGTAAAGATATCTGGTTTTGGAGTTTGATGATGGCCAGAACCATACTCTAGCGATAGTTTAATGGCCAAAAATAGACTTCATCAGATAGATCACCCTCCTTTTTCTAAGGGACATCACTTTGTGTTGGTGGCTACGAATTATTTCATGAAGTGAACCAAAACTGTACCTTTGAAGAACTTGACACGCAAGGAGGTAATTGGATTAGTTACTAATCATATTATTCGTAGGTTTGGCATACCTCAAATTTCAACAAGCGGACCAAGGTTTTTCTTTTTTCGAAAGAGGTATGTGAATTTGCTGAGCTATATAAAATTAAACTGCTCAATTCATCCCCATATTACACTCATGCAAATGTGGTTAGGCTGAGTTTAGTAATGAGAGCTTAATCAAACATGTGTCAAGAAGAAAATTGAGGATAATCCTAGAAGATGGCATGAAGTTTTGTCTAAGAATTTATGGGCTCACCGTATATCTAGAAATGGTGATACTAATGTTACCCCGTTTGAGATGGTGTATGGACATGAAGCAGTGTTGTCGGGCGAGGTAAACTTGGCTGCATATATATTGGCTAAACAGAATGACTTATATGGTATTATGTATCATGAATTGATGATGGACAATGTCGATAAGTGACTGGTGAAAGAATGAAGGCTTTGAGACTTTGAAGGAGATCAAGAGAAACAAAACTTGTGTTGCCAAGGCCCACGACAAGAAGATTAAGAGCAAATCATTTTAGGTTGGTGATCTAGTTTGGAAGAGTGTTATGGCCTCGTTCGCTTTGCTGAAAAAACAAGTCGAAACACTGTTCCGGCTAATTTGTTGTGAGAGAAAAACACTGTTGCGGCTCAAAAAACAAGCTGAAAAGTACGGATTATAAGACAAACGAACATGACCATGTTTCTCCAAACAAAGAGAAACAAAATTGGCAAGTGGTCTTCAAGTTGATCGAGAAGGTCCATACAAGATGTCCAAGAGCGTCCTGGAGAATATAAGACCACCCACGAGGGATCGAGGATATTCAATCGATAAAAAATACAAATAGATATACTTTTTCACATCTTAAACCCTAATCTCCTCCAAACCCCAGTTATTATGCCATTCTAAACTTTTCATGATGAGATTTGTGCACGTTTAGGTGGACTTTGTGTCTTCCTGGAGGCGTCATATATTTTTGAGCAAAGCTGCCTAGAATCAATAAGTATAAATGAATCTTATAATAAGTATAAATGAATGTTAGTATAATAGACGGACTCTTCCATTTCCGTGGTAAGGCTAGGTCTATTATTTTTCATTTTCTATTTATACTATAGCAAACTTGTCCATACATTACAATGGAATATATCTTGTTGTGTAGCTACCTCCGAATGTATATCTTGTTGCAGCTACCTGGACGACCTGGTTCATCTGTTTCGGTATGTATTAGAATTAGATTAGACTCATATCCTTGGCGAATGCACAACGTATAGCCTGTTGCGCAGTTACCTAGATGATTTGTGTGATCATGTCATATATTCCAATGTGTCTCGGAATCGGATTGTATACCGTCATCGGACACATTTTCGAATTGGACTATTTCGTTAGACGTGTGTTGTTGTTCTAACTTGTATGTGGACGGGTTACTGTTTTAACTCGTATAAGAACATGTCACAACTCCAGATTAAATATATGTGATATACGGAGAGCCTAAGGGCACTTTGGGAAATTAGAAAAGACGTTTTTTTTTGGTTGCACATGACGGTTTTAGAATTTAGATAGTATGGTGGATCCGGAGTTAAAGTTTCGTTTCCTCCCGTCAACAGTGTCCAATCCAAATACACAGATACACACGGATAGCCTTTGGCTTACACGTAACCCAAGTAGTTTCCGCCAGCCTTGGCGCCTGATGATGCGGTTGCATCGATCTCATTACCTGAATAACCGCATGCTATCCTTTTATTATCCTATCCGGTTCCGTTCAACAAATTAAACCCCCACCTCCAACTCCAACGAACGCCGTCAACACCCCCAGCCTTATCCGTCGGTCTCCCTCTATTTAAGCCGCCTATAGCTCCTCGATCTCTACCGCGTAATCCTTTCGTTATCCTCCTCGTTATCCATTGTTAATCCATCCACTAATTCAGACTCAGTATAAGTACGTTGTGCCTGATCTAGCTAGAGATACAACAATGGCCGGGGGTTTTGCCGTCTCCAAGTCCGGCGCCGACCGCCGGGAGTTCAAGGGCAAGATCACCTGGTACGTCTGGATCTGCGGCATCATCGCCGCCACCAGCGGCCTCATGTTCGGCTACGACATCGGCATCTCCGATCCGGTAAGATCGAGCTCGCGTTCTGATGATATGGATCGATGGTCGTCTAGATCTGATCTGACCAATGTCGTTGTTCAATGAATGCATATGCAGGTGGAGTGACGGCCATGGACGACTTCCTGCTGCTCTTCTTCCCATCTGTGTACGCGCGGAAGCACCGCGCCAAGGAGAACAACTACTGCAAGTTCGACGACCAGCGTCTCCAGCTGTTCACCTCCTCGCTCTACCTGGCGGCGCTGATGGCCAGCTTCGCGGCGTAGGGCACGTGCACCCGCTTCGGCCGCAAACGCACCATGCAGGCGGAGTCCGTCTTCTTCCTCGGCGGCACGGCGCTCTGCGCCTTCGCCACCAACCTCGCCATGCTCATCGTGGGCCGCGTCTGCCTCGGCGTCGGCGTGGGCTTCGGCAACCAGGCGGCGCCGCTGTTCCTGTCGGAGATCGCGCCGGCGCACATCCGTGGCGCGCTCAACATCCTCTTCCAGCTCAACGTCACCATCGGGATCCTCCTCGCCAGCATCGTCAACTACTTCGCGTCCCGCGTCCACCCGCTGGGCTGGCGTACGCGCTGGGCGGCGCTGCCGTCCCCGCCGCGGCGCTGTTCCTGATCGCTCGTCATCACCGAGACACCCACCAGCCTCGTGGAGCGCCGCGGGCGGGACGGCGCCGGGCGCCGGACGCTGGAGAAGATCCGCGGCACCGCTGACGTGGACGCCGAGTTCGAGGAGATCCGGGCGGCGTGCGACCTGGCGCTCGTGCTCAGCGAGGAGGAGAAGCCCTACCGCCGGCTGATGCGCCCCGAGAGCCTCCCGCCGCTGGTGATCGCCGTCGCCATGCAGGTGTTCCAGCAGTTCACGGGCATCAACGCCATCATGTTCTACGCGCCAGTGCTGTTCCAGACCATGGGCTTGGGGAAGGATAGCTCCCTGCTCTCGGCCGTGGTCACCGGCGGCGTCAACGTGGTGTCCACCGTCGTGTCCATCATCCTCGTCGACAAGGTCGGCCGGCGGAAGCTCCTGCTAGAGGCGTGCGTGCGGATGCTGGTGGCGCAGACGGCCGTCGGCGGGATCATGCTGGTGCACGTGCGCGCCGACAACGAGCCGAGCCGGTCGTGGGCGGTGGCCATCGTCGTGCTCATCTGCGTCTACGTGTCCAGCTTCGCCTGGTCGTGGGGCCCCTCGGGTGGCTCATCCCGTCGGAGACGTTCCCGCTGGAGACGCGCACGGCGGGGTTCTCGTTCGCCGTCAGCTCCAACATGCTCTTCACCTTCCTCATTGCGCAGGCGTTCCTATCCATGATGTGCTCCATGCGCGCCTTCATCTTCTTCTTCTTCGCCGTGTGGATCGTCGCCATGGCCACGTTCGTCCTCGCGCTGCTCCCGGAGACCAAGGGCGTCCCCATCGACGAGATGGTGGACAGGGTCTGGCGTCGCCACTGGTTCTGGAAGAGGTACGTCGCCAACGCCGACGAGGCTAGGGTCAACGACAACTGCTAGTAGTGCTGATCAATATTTGGATTGTTGATTATAAAACTTTTTAATTGTCATTTTAATTACTAGAAAACCGGCCTGATTAATTGTGATTTGATGGTGATAATGACGATGATCAATGCGAGATGTACTTATTTAACTGTTGCTCCGACATTTATTTGATTGATGATGATCGTTGCACTTTGAAGGCAAAACTATATATACATGAGAAATATGTATCGAGTTCTCGTATGATTCCTATGGTCATTATGAGAAAAAATATTATTGAGTTTTTTTTCGCAAGAGGAAATAATATTCTCGGAACTCCGGCACAAAGTTCACCTAGAATTTATCATACATTATGAACCTATATAAGTTCACATCTATGCTATGGGGTGCAGGTCAAACTTTTATCAAGTTTGATTTGACTAGGTTTATAGAAAATATGAGGAACATTTATACCATAATTAAATAAATTTATTATGAAAATAGAATAGATTTAACGGCTCATCTAACAATACTAAGTATGTATTCTATATATATAATTGGTCAAAGTTAAAAATCTTTGACTTCTCGATGAGTCAGAATGACAATCTTGGTGGGACCGAGGGTCATGAAGGTTAGAGCGGATTAAAATCGACCGACCATTAGATGTTATTTTACAATCATGAGAATTTAGATGTCATTTTTTGTCATGAGAAATTAAAGGTCACTAGCATACAACAAGACCTAAATTTCTTATAAAGATTAAAATAAGTTTCTATCTCTTAATGTGTGATGCATAAAGCAATGCACGCACGCGTGTGTAGGATCGGATCGAGTTGCTTGTCTTGCTTGTGGTGACACGTGTAGTACCAGCAAAGTGTGTGGCTACACATCCTTGCACCGTGGTCCGCTTATATCGTGGCTTATATTTGTAAACAGCTGCACGTGAGGAGAGACAAGGATCGCCAAAACGCTAACAGCTACATCTCTCTCACAAAGTCTCATATCCAGTGTAGATATAACTTTCTAGATGTTGACACTAAAAAATGTCCGATGGTGATTTAGGGCATCATAAATAAGTTATAAGCATCTTGAACATATTTGAGGTCGAATGGCTCAGCAAAAAGACCAATGAATCACGCGGAGAATACGGCGAGCCATAGCGAGCTGCAGCCAGTCGGTTTAGCCGACTTGAACAGTGCCAGTCGGCTTAGCTGACTCCCCCCTTTTTAGCCAACCCAGGACCCCACTCGGGCCCGTGGAAGTTGGCCGACTCGTGTCTTGAAACCGACTAGGATAAGACTAAAAGTCGGTTTTAGGTAATTTTTGACGTGAGAAACTTGAAGATTACGATTTGGACTTGTTTCATACTGGGATAAGACCACCCCCTCTATAAATACAAGAGGTTCACGACCAATTGAGTTCCAATTTATCCAATCATCAAAAAATCAATCTATCAACTCTTATCAACCCTTTATCCCTCTCTCAACCCCTCCTGCTGTTCGGCACGTCTCTCGGTGAGATTTGTTAGCATCTTAGGCGGCCTTGCTGGTCCTAAGAGATCCTCCACGTGCTCCTCCCCAATGGTCTTCCCGGGTGATGGACCGGGGTCCTAGGGGTTCCCCACGGGGGTACTTCTTGGATGGGCCCTGGGATGGCCCACGATCTGTTGAAGGATGCGAGACAAGGTGGCGTGGACTTCAAGCTATTCCATATCGACTTAGTCGGCTTACTATGAAAGTTAGATTCTATAATAGGACTAGGACTCTTCTCTTGTAACCGACTAGGACTAGATACGTGCCCTTACGGTCTCCCCTATATAAAGAGAGGCATGGTACACCCCCTTGTAACCCTAACAATCATACAATCAATCTAACGCAAAAGGTTACACGTCGACTGAACGTAAAGGCTATTACTCGACAAGAGGGCCCGGACCAGTATAAATCGTTCATCTCTTTGTGTTTATTGTCGAGTTCTACGTACGCCGAAGCCCTTCAAATAGCATCCCGGGTATCCCCGTGACGGGTTGCCGGTCATCAAACACCGACAGCTGGCGCGCCAGGTAGGGGCTTTCGGTGACTTCGTGATCGAGAGCTCGGCGGACCTCGACGACATGATTTTCTCGGCGGGTATCACCTTCATATTTGGCTCCTGGATCTACAAAGCAGACGACAACGGCAAACTCCAAAGTTGTCTCATGGAGATCCCGACGCCTCAAGCTTCACCAGACGTCTCGATGACCACGCTGGATCAACTCGCCGAGAAGTTTTCGCACCTCTCAATCTCTGATCCAACTAGAACTCAGGAGGTCACCATCAACCACAACTCCCGCTCGAACACGTCACCTTTGTCCGGGCTGAAGATCCCATCTGAAGTCCAATGCGAAGACCCAGTTCATTTTCCACTCGGACTCAAGAATTCAACTTCAATCTATCAAGGCACAATCAGCTACCTCGTGCAATCTGAGCAAGAGATCCCTCTTACGGGTGCCCAGAGAGGTTTGGTTCTATCCATCACACCCGAAGGAGGTATCGTCCATTGGTCGGGTGCTCGACCCGACACTTTGTTAATAGATCCATCTCGTCTAGTCGGCATGGTGAAACTCTTGCCTTATCAGGACGGCATAACTCTTCCAGTGAACAATAATGATCATGGTTCTACAGAGATCTTGGACATCATGACGACTACAGAATCTAGAACTCACTCGGCCATGAGGCACTCCAGAGAAGTCTTTATGGCTGGGCAACCACCTTAGATCCCTATGCCTAACCCACCAAATATCCAAGATGGAGAGGAAGCTTTGTCCGACATCTCCCTAGACACTGCGCCACCCAACGGAGAGACGGATGAGTAGAAGACGGCCAGGGAAAGGAAGAACAGAGCTCGATAGGCTCGGCGCAACCGCGCCCAACACCGCAAGGAAGAGTGGCAGTGGTATTAGTTGGCTTGTTGAGACGTTGAACGCCTGCACTTGGCTACAGAGGCAGCATATGAACAACGTCTATGGGATGAAGAAGCATAATGACAGGGCCAAGACTATGATGCCGTTAGAGCCTCTGCATCACACAACCTTGAGCTTGAGTTCATGGAACTAGCTGGCCATAGGGTCTTCACTATGCCCTACGCCAACGTCTATGCCCTGGTAGAAGAGACGACGGCCATAGAAAACCCTACTTCAGATTAGCAACGACCCAAAGTCATTCTGGAATCCACAACCCTTCAGATGTAGGCTGTAAAAGTGACATCCAAAGCTAACCCTTCCCGAGGACTAGAGGCATGGGCACCAGTCCACTCTCATCTAGGACCTCAGGGTAACCAAGGAGGAGGACAACGAGTACCAGTCCACTCCCATCTAGGACCGTAGGGTAACTAGAGCAGGAATTAGGGTGCCGCATAGTCGGCCTATCATGGGCACCAGTAAAATAATAGGGAAGGCAGACGAGTCCATGTACAGAGAGGCTGACATCTCATCGAACAGGTTCCCATGTTTTTCTAATAGACTACTCTCTGTCCGGCTTGCCTACAAGTTCAAGCCGTCCAACCATGCCAAGTACGTCGGGAAGACAGAACCCAAACAATGGTTGCGCATTTACTCTCAATCCATTTAGTTGGTAGGCGGCGATGATGACATCAAAGTGTTATATTTTCCCATGGTACTCGATACTGTGGCCCTCGCCTAGTTTGATAAGCTATGAACCCACTCTATCGATACTTGGGGACAACTTCAGCACAAATTCTGTGAAAATTTTTGTGGCGTCCTCACCCACCCAAGTACTTGAAACGAGCTTAGAACTTGCAAGCAGAAACTAGATGAAACTTTCCAACAATATTATCGTCGCTTTGCTGAGTTACGAGCCCAAGTCTATGATATCATAGACAGGGAGGTGATAGATCACTTCACCAACAGGATGAAATACAAGTGGTAGTTTGAAAAATTCTATGATGATAATCCAGACCGCCGAGGAATTTAAGCGTACAGTACAGAAGATGATTGCATCTAAATAACGTACTTGCGAATGATTCCCATGCGGCCAATAAGACAAAGGTCACGACCCTAGAAGCAATCAGGGTGGACAGTCCAGCAGAAAGAGAGGACCCAATAACACCCTTGCTTCCATGGATCGGTCTAAGAAGTCTAACAAAAATAACAAGAAGTTCGAAGATCTCAAGAATTTACCCTGTCCTTTCCACAAGAACGCCAAGCACACGGTGGCCGAGTGCAGACAACTCCAAGAATGGGGTTTCTACGGCAAAATCAACAAGGGCAAGGGTAAAGCTGATAACAACAAAGATGGAGACGACAACGCTGACCCTAGCTTTCAATAGTCCAAGGGCCAAATTGCAGTAATCTTTGCGGGGCTACTGACTTCATCAAACAAGTGCTCAGTGAAGTTGACTCTTTGGGACATCATGGTAGGAGAGCCCTCAACACCAAAATACCGTAATTGGTCCGAGTACCCGATCTAGTTTTCTAGAAAAGATCAATGGACTAGCGTGACTAACGCCGACCACTATCCACTCGTCTTGGGTCCAACAATAGCCGGCATGACAGTCCCCAAGGTCCTGATCGATGGCGGCGTAGGATTGAATATAATATTTGTAGATACGCTGAAGAAGATAGGCCTAGAGTTTACCAGCCTACTCACCCTCACTAACGTCCCTTTCTATGGGATAGTACCCGACAAGGCTGCCATACCACTTGGACAGATCACGCTCCCGGTAACGTTTGGCAACCCAAACAATTTTCGAACGGAGTTCATCAAGTTCGAGGTGTCTGACTTCGAATCATCATATCATGCTATGTTCGGTCGACCTGCTTTCGCCAAGTTCATGGCCATACCACATTACCCGTACCTCTTGCTCAAGATGCTGGGTCCTAATGGCGTACTCTCCTTCCGAGGCGACCTCAAGCGCTCATACGACTGCGACACGGAAGTCGTCTAGATCATAGCCAGAACACAGCAAGCCTATGAAGCACAGGAGATTGCCAACATTGCACAACAGACTAAGCCAGAAGACATGGAGATTTTGACTAAGAAGGC